TTTGGTTGGTTGCTGATGCATGGAGGGGATTGTAACCATGGCAATGAAACGGTATACTATAGGATGAATGTAAAACTAATGTTCCCCCATGTAAACTATCACATAATTCACAATAAAACATAAAAAGTAGACACCCTTGGGATGCAAGGATGAATAATTGTTACTAGGACTGATTGTGAGGACTGGAAATGTAAAGGTGGACATTTTATAGCAAGGAGGGGAGTGATTAACCTTTCAGTCTAGGAGTGGAGGGCCCAGGGACCATCAATGGAGAAGATCGGAGAGTGGGACACCACCCAGAGGAGCAGTGAGGCCTGAGACTGAGACAGAGAGGATGATATGAAGAGATGGAGTGGCTGGGGACTAGGGACCCAGAGAGGGAGAGGGGCTGTGTGCTAAGGACCGTGAGGAGAGGGTGGGCGGGATTGCACCCTTTGGTTGGGTGATGATGCATGGATGGTATGGTAACTATGGCAATGAGACAATGTATGATGGAATGAATGTAAAACTAATGTTCCCCCATGTAGACTATCACACAATACACAATTTAAAAAAAAAAAACCAAAAGCACCAGGTACTCCTCAGACACCCTGGGCAAGTTCTCTATGATTTGGAACTGACTTGATGGTACTTAACAACATCAGTAAGAACACTAGTGGCACTGTAAGATAAGCACTGGACTTCTTCTTGTTGAGTTGGTTCCAACTCATGGTTACCCTGTATAGGGTTTTCAAGGAGCAGCTGGGGGTTTTGAACCATTGATTTGAGGTTAGCAATCCAGTGCTTATGGTATACTACCACACCAGGGCTTCAAAGCACTGGACTGCTAACTACAAAGTGTGCAATTCAAACCTACCAGATTATCATGGGAAAAAGATGAGACTTTCAGCTCTTATAAAGATTCACAGCCTTAGAAATATACACAGGGTCACTGTGAGTCAAAGTCTACTCTGTGGTAGTGACTGAGAAAGTGAGTGATAATGCTCTGTTGTAAAAAAAAAATATCCCATCATGTAGCTTTCACATCCCAAACCCCAGTGGTTACATTATGGAGAAACAACAACTAACTTGGCAGCCAAATTGCTTTGCCAGAGTAGATTGCTCTTTATAGACTTAGACATTCACACATTTTAACATGGAAACAATTACTTCAAAAAGTAACATTCTGTAGTAAATGCATATATCTAAAATTATAGTATTTCAGTATTCTGAATTCTGAGAAAAGCAGTAACTTTTATTTGATTTTACTTGGTGAGCACAGTTAGAATGTCATCTTTGATCCCATTCTTACGTAATTTTATTACATTTCAAAATGGAAGTTAAACTTCATTTCGATTTTGTAATGTCAAAGGACACACATTAGAAATTGGACTCACAGAATAAGTAGATAAATAAAGTCAAATTTAAAAAAAGTAGACAATCTTTCTCCCATTAACTTTTCAATACTGATCTGCGCACCTCTATGATAGTGACTAGAGGAGGGGCCTGAGCGATCGGACGCCTCCACCCACAGCTGGAGGCTTCTACGGTGCAAACACACTGCCTGCCTGTGTAGCAAGGCGAATGGACAGTTGAACACAGTTTTATTTTTGTTTCAAAGTGGTGGGTTTTGTCTCTGCTTTTATATTGCTTCTGATTTCAGTCCTTTTGATCACACATTTTTCCCTGAGGTGGGAGCTTTTTCTCCTTATATTACCCAAGAAGAGACAGCAATCGTGCCCATATAGCCAAGCTACAAGCATGCCCCATAATATTCCACCATTGAGACAGCCAATGACTACTGCTAAGCATTACATGCCAAAAGGGAAGCCTATCTCCTGATCATATCCACCAGGAGACACCCAGTAAGCTTAAAAACACAACAACAAACATCCATTTCAGCATAAAAAAACCCACACAACTACTGGAAATTACCAATAAAGCACCACAAAAGATCTCAAAACATGTCCCAAAACAGAAAACAGTAACTGAGACAAATGAGCTGGAGACAGACAAAGGCAAGCCAGAAGAGGAATAGCAGGTTTTGGATTTGTGTGAGAAGGAATTCAGAAGAATGATATATAAACAATTAAAATGCTCTGAAAAGGGGTGGAGGAAAACAAGGGAGAAGTCAGGAAAGTACTACAAGAGCAATCAAACAAGATTGGTACAGCATTGGAAACAATTCAAAACCTGCAAAAGGGCCCAGATGATTAATAATAAAATACCAGAAATGGACAATTCACTGAAAGAGGAAAGGAGCAGAATAGAAGAAATGGAAGCCAGAACTAGTGAGCTGGAAGGAAAATCTCTCAATACTGCTAAGATAGAAGAGCAAGCAGAAAAAAATAATAAAAAAATCTGAAGAGAGTCTTAAGATTCAGGCTGGATAACATGAAGAGGAACAACTTAAGCATTCTGGAACAGAAAGAATCAGAACATTCAACCCAATAACAGCATGATATACTTTCTTCTCCAGTGCATATGTAACATTCTCGAGAACTGACCATGTGTTAGGTCACAAAGCAAGCCTCCATAAATGTACATCAAAATACTACAGAGCCAGGCATCCAAATTGGCAAAGAGGAAGTAAAACTCTCGCTATTTGCAGACGGTATGATCCTATACATAGAAAACCCCAAAGACTCAGTAAAA